GTGAAGAAGTCGCGTCATTTTCTGTATTTGACTCCGAATGATACGCGTCACGAGTCGATGTTGAAGCTTTTTCCTCAACCTCTTCAGAATAAAATGAACTAGACATTTGAAAAATCAGTATCCTTGGCGGGACTTTTTTTAAATGTAATAATTCGCCACTGATAAGTGATAAATTTGTTTATCGGTAAAGAAAAACCAGGTATGAGAAAAATGACGGATAAATAACGAGTTTTAATTTGTCACACATTCAAATTGCAGTAAAATGGTTCGTGTTCGATATCACTTTTGAACATCACCGAGAGATCACATAGTAAATTCAGGATTAAATTACGCCCAATTACCAAATTTACTTATCATTCGTCAGCTGATATAAAAGATGAAAAATGAAAAATTTTTCTTTGTATTCAAAAAAAAATTTTTTTTTTTTTTTTTCTTTCAAAGGTAAGCGAAAGATTATTAATCTTGTATCATTTTTTTGTTTTTTCATTTTTTTTATTAAGTGATGAGATAAAATTTTCAGAGAATCAAATCATAAGATGACAATTAAATTTTAACCCTCTAAGAAGTTCTGATAAATAAAACCCTTCATATATAAATGTGATTCTTTTTTTTTATTGAGCAATTTTTATTAAAAAAAAATATTTTTTTTTTTTCCTTTTTTTATTATTATTTTATTTACAGGATTTCCCTAAATAAAACAGGTAAAAATTTTATTTCGTTTTTACATTTTCTTTTGGTCGATATGATTATACCAAATATCTAAATTCAATCTGTCAATCTACTGAAAACAAAAAAAAAGTGTTGATAAAAAGGATATTTACCCCAAAATAATAATAAATTAAATGATCGTTCACATTGATTAATTCGCTTGGAATAAAAAATTCTCTGTCTGAATCATGTCTTTTTTTTGTTTTAAATTTAGGAATGCTGAAAGCACAAAGGGGAGGTTAACGAGCGATATATTACCATTTTATAAATTTCAGTAAATATTTTTCTCTCTCTTTTTTTTTACGTGTTTTTGATTCTTTACATTTTTATTTAATCAAGTTATAAAAAAATAAAACATTGAAATGCCATGAAATGCAATAAAATAATTTCAATTAAAAAAAAATAAAGAAATTTTAAATTCATTGAATTGTAACAACAGCATCGTCCTCAACATTTTCAACATGTTCGTTGGCAGCGAAAGTAGCTATATATTTAATTAGAATAATAAAGGTTCGTTACAAACATTAAATTAGAAGAAAAGGTCATCAAGTATCTGACAATACTTACTGATAATGTCAGCTGGTAAGGTAACCATGAGAGTCTTTCCAGTTACCACAGTTTTACCTGTTATTACACCACCTACCGAATTTGAATCATCTTGTAAGTTTCAAAACTCGCGAATAGAAAATAAATTGTATAAAATTATCAGTACCAATTTTTTTGATGTCCTCTTCGGTTTTATCAATAACAGCGATTGGAGTATCGCTTTTGAAGTGAATGATTTTCTTGACAGTTGGACCTGAATTCAACGTAATTAGCAAACCATTATAAACTCGAAAATAAAAATTTTCTTTTCGTAAATATCTTTTTGCCGTGAACCTTTACCAGACATTTTCGACAAATTTTACGGAAGAAATTTTTTAAAATGGTAAGAAGAAATTACAAGATATATTTATTTCAAAATAAGCTCTTGATAACCTTAAAAAAAAAAAAGGAGTTTGAACTTTCCAAATAGTTCTTTATATATATATCATTTCGATGACCCCCTTTTCATTTTTTGATGATCAATCCGTCAATAAATCTCGATTCGTAAATTCTGCAAATTACATCATAAACTTTTTGGGCGTATTTACAATGTTTAGATACTTTTACATTATAATTTTCGTTCACATGCAAACATCACTTGAATACTGTGAGAACAAATTTGCTTTTAATTTATTCATTTGTAAATTTCATTTTTCCATTTAAAGAAAATTAATGCGTACCAACAGTAATTTGATTATCAATTATTAAAAATTTACGATTTAAAGGTTAAATGAAAAAGTTTGAAAAGATAAAAAAATCGTGGAATGTTGGAACTTATCCGAAACGCGCTAGCTCTATTCGAACTCACACGTGATATTCGAATTGGAACACAATAACAATATTATAGATTCGATCGAACCGAATTAACTAATATACAATTCCATCTCTTAAAATACATTTTAAAGCAATTACATTTAAAAAAAATTTCAAATCTCACATCCTGAAAACACCAAACCGTGATTTCTCAATCTGTGCATTTAACGCGGCACTTAAAGCCAATCCGAGAACTTTTCTCGTGTCAGCAGGACTGATGATTCCATCATCCCAAAGACGCGCTGAAGAAAAGTATGGATGTCCTTCATCTTCAAATCTATCGCGAATAGATTTCTTGAATTTATCCTCCTCTTCCATTGACCACTATCAAAAATATTTTAAATTAAAATTTTATAATTATGCGTAAATTATCGATGTTGATTGATGAACTTACCACATCGTCCTTTTCTGATTTTGAATCTCGTTTAATTTGAGCCAAAACACTTGCGGCTTGTTCGCCACCCATGACTGATATTCGCGCGTTCTTTATAAAACACATAATCAAATTTAGTTGCCTGAACCTAATATAATGAATCGAACTAAATGAATATAATTATAAAACTAACCGGCCACATCCATAAAAATCTAGGATTAAACGCTCTTCCGCACATTCCGTAATTTCCGGCGCCAAAACTTCCACCGATAATAACTGACAATTTTGGAACTTTAGCACATGATACCGCTGTCACCAATTTCGCGCCATTCTTGGCAATACCACCAGCTTCTGCAGATGATCCAACCATAAATCCTGTAATATTCTGGAGAAATATTAACGGTATACCACGTTGTGCACAAAGCTCAATAAAATGTGTTCCTTTAAGAGCTGATTCGGAGAAAAGGATTCCATTGTTAGCAATAATTCCAATGGGATAGCCGTATAAATGCGCGAAGCCTGCGTTAAATATGTTCGTAATATATCAGTAGATAGATCTACAATAAAGTTTGAGATTAAAGAAAAAAAAAAAACCTAACCGGTAACTAATGTTGTCCCATATAATTCCTTAAATTCTTCAAATCGACTACCGTCCACGAAACGCGCAATGACATTTTTTACATCAAAAGTTTTGCGTAGATTATCACCCACAATACCACCAAGCTCTGATGCAGAATAAATAGGCTCCTCGGGTTTTTTAATTGATAACTTAAATCACAACCCTTGTTAGTTCACTCCTATATGTAAAAAAAATCTCTAATTATTGAATACAAACATTAGGTTTCTTCGACCAATTAAGCGTCTCAACAATACTTCTTGTGATTTGTAAAGCGTGCTCATCATTATTGGCGTAATGATCTGTTACGCCGGATGTTCGACCTGTAATAATATTGATACATGAGTCGCCGAAATTATTATCCTTAAATTTCAATTTATTACTCACAATGCAAATCTGCTCCTCCTAACTCTTCTGCTGTGATCACTTCACCAGTAGCTGCATTGACCAATGGAGGCCCACCTAAGAAAATGGTACCTTGTTTTGCGATAATAACACTTTCATCTGCCATAGCAGGAACGTAGGCGCCACCTGCCGTGCATGATCCCATCACAACAGCTATCTGTGGTATGCCTTCAGCAGACATTGTGGCCTAATTGACATATAAAAGATCGGTTAAAATCCAAGAATTTCAAATTCTTTTTTTTTTTTTTCCAACTAACTTGATTAAAGAAAATGCGTCCAAAGTGATCGCGATCTGGGAAAACCTCTGCTTGTTGGGGAAGATTTGCACCTCCCGAATCTACCAAGTATATGCATGGTAGCCGATTTTCTCGTGCAACATCTTGTGCTCGTAAATGCTTTTTGACTATGAGTAAAAGATTGTGAGGACTGGATATTTTTATATCTTGTGACTACTTTAATCATACCTGTGATGGGATAATATGTTCCGCCTTTGACTGTTGAGTCGTTAGCGATGATCATACATTCTACCCTACATCAGAACTTTTAAATAAATATTCAAATCATCAACTGTTAATTTTTTCTGTAATAATCATTATGATGATTATAATACTAACCCTTTAACACGTCCTATTCCAGAAATTATTCCGCCTGCGGGTATTTCATCTGCGTACAATTTGTAACCAGCGAGTTGTGAAAGTTCTAGAAAGGGAGATCTTTAGGAAGCAGAAAGTCAAAGTCATATTAATTTTAAATTAGAAGTTAGTAAATAACATAGAAGACATGAAATAACTTAACCCATTATCAAGCAAATGATTTATCCTTAGATAAAGAAGAAATTGGTTATTTATAATATAAATAAGATTCAAAACGATAAAGGGTAAAATCAATATCAACCTATCGCGAACTAATAATTTTTTACGTTCCAGGTGACGCTTTCGAGCGCTCTCACTGCCACCTAAAGGAATTCAAAACAAAATTCATATTATAAAATTAAATCGATTTTAATTTAAATCAATAAACGATTTTTACCTAACACAACTTTATTTATTATATTTTCCAAGTCTTTGACCAGCATGTTCATTTTTTCAGCATTTTCCTATCAATAAAATATAATTAACAAGAATTTATTTTTATTATGCTGTCGTTGAAACAGTACGTTTTTATTCACTTTACTTTAAACTCGTCGCTCTTAGTGTCGACATTATTTGGTAAAACGTTCGTAGCCTTTTCATGCCAGGTATGATACTTTAAGAGGTTTGGTCGCAATACCTTGCGGTTACTAAAAGTAAAACCTTTTCGAATTGAAGGAAAAGAGCCCCTTGTAAATTGCATAATAGAGGTAAATTGTAAAATAAAAAAAAAAGTAAATTATTAGAATGCGCACTACATAAACCAATTCGGAAGTTATAGTTGGTCAGCGTGGGAATATATAAATAATATAAGCCACCAAAACTTGAAGTTTAAACTCGATAGATTTTTTCTTCGAAGTAAACCCAAACAATGGAAATTGAGTCAACAGAGTAAAGTAATCTTCCAAATTTATAATTCTTGTTTTTATAAAAAATTTAGTCGCTAACACTTTATTCTCTCTTATGATACTTATATATAGTGTGATTCGATTAATTTTACAATTTTTGAAAGAAAGTAACCTTCCAAATAGTTATGCTGCTTTGCAGGTTTGTTTAAAAGTTTAAAAGTCGTTCTCCTTTAACATATTATTACGAGTTTCTAAAGTAATATTTCAATTTAGGAAGAATCTACCATAGCTCTTAACACTGTTGATTCGATAGAATCATTTACTGATGAAATTATACAAGGACATTGGGATGTTGTATTGCGCACGGTATCTAATTTGAAAATACCACAGAGAAAGTTAATTGATCTTTATGAACAGGTTTTAAATTCATTATAGAATTTTCCTTTATCAGTTGTCAACTGAATGAATAATAAAACCAATCCAATTTTAGATTGTTTTAGAATTAATCGAAATGAGAGAATTAGGAGCAGCCAGAACTTTATTAAGGCAAACAGATCCAATGCAGCTTTTAAGAGATCATCATTCTGAACGATATCTTCATCTTGAACATTTACTTGCTCGAACATGGTTTGATCCAAAAGAGGTTAGTTATCACATATGTGTATATACAATTTTAATTGATTATGAACTAATTTTTTTGTTAATTAAGGCATATCCATCAGGAATAACAAAGGAAAAGAGGCGTCAAGTTATTGCACAAGGTTCTATGTCTTAAAATAGATTCTGTTAATATGTTGATGACGCTTATTAAATTTATCGTTATAGAGCTTTCTAGTGAAGTTACTGTGGTTCCACCTTCAAGACTTTTGTCACTTCTTGGACAAGCTTTGAAATGGCAACAACATCAAGGATTATTACCGCTGGATGCTGCATTCGACCTTTTTAGAGGGTCAGCGCCCACAACAAAAGCTGAGGATGATGCGGTTCCTACGAAGTGTTATACCACCATTAAGGTTAATCATATGATTATTTGAATTTAAAATTTATAAGTAGTAATACGTTCTTATTTGATGAATTCAACAAATTCATTTATTTTAGTTCCTAAAAAAAAATCACGCAGAGGCTGTAGCATTTTCGCCCGACGGACAATATTTGGCCACAGGTAGTTTAGATGGATTTATCGAAATATGGAACTATTTAACTGGAAAACTTCGAAAGGATTTTAAATACCAAGTAGAGGTTAGATTTGATTTTGAATTTTTATTTTTAATGATCTTGACTTTGAAATAATTAATTAATAACGTATGTCTTTATCTCCATCAGGATAATCCCATGTTAATGAATGATCCCGTATTATGTCTAAACTTTAGCAGAGATAGTGAAATGCTTGTGTCTGGTGCACAGGATGGAACTATTAAGGTAGCCAGACTTAAGAAAATTTCAGTAGCCTGTTTTATTTCCAACTTTTTTCAAGGCGTAAAGCTTTTTAGGTCTGGAAAATTCAAACAGGCCAATGTACGAGAAGGTTTTCTCCAGCTCATAGTCAAGGTGTGACTTCTGTATGTTTTAACCGGGATGGGAGTCAGGTTTTGAGCACCAGTTTCGATCATACTATCAGGTATGTGAGTACGTTACATTTATTTATTGTTTAAATCATTCATAATATTATTATCATGTATGACAGGCTTCATGGATTGAAATCTGGCAAAACTTTAAAAGAATTCCGTGGACATACTTCATTCGTTAATAATGCGATATTCTCGCATGATATGTCAAGAATATTAAGTGCAAGCAGTGATGGTACCGTAAAGGTTAGTTGTAATATACAAGAAGATCCAAATATATCTTTTAATTGATAATAATAATGTTTATAAATGAAATAATTAGATTTGGGATAGTAAGTCAGCTGAATGTCTACATACTATATCTCCGCAAATTGGTCGTAGTCGAGATAATTCATCAATTGCTGGAGGAAGAACGGTTAATTGTGTGGTTCAAATGCCAAAAAATGCTGATCAAGTTATAGTTTGTAACAAAAGTTCGATAGTTTATTTGATGACATTAAGAGGACAGGTAAGAAAACAGTAAATTTACATATTTTTTAAAGATTATTTTTTAACGATTTTCTCTTTTTTAAGATAATTAAATCATTCAATTCGGAAAAGAAAGTTGATGGTGATTTTGTTAGTTGTACAGTATCCTCTCAAGGAGATTTTATTTATTGTATAGGCGAAGATTCTAATTTATATTGTTTTAATGTGCAAACTGGAAAATTAACTTCAACAATAAAGGTAAAAAATAAAGATTTTTTTTTTTAATATACAATTTATCATTTCAGTATAATTTTTTATATTAAAAAAAAAAAATTTTAAAAATAGTTATCTGATGCCGATGTTATTGGATTTTCGCATCATCCGTTCTCAAATATTTTAGCCACTTATGCTGACGATGGTATTATATCTTTATGGAAACCATAAATTAGAAATAAGAATTCAATTAGAAAAATATTTTTTTGTCTTAATTTCATTTATAGAGCATCATGTTAAATAAATATGTAAAGTTGGATATTAATAAACAAAATCAAAGATGATAATCTTCTAATTGTTATATACAAACTAACGGTTCTACCCGGGAGATGGCCCGGTAAATGCATAATTTGTTATACTATTTTTATTTTATCAAATTATGTAATATTATAATTATTAAATAAAATTCCAGCGGCATAATATATTAATATCAAATTCGAATTTCTTGCGAATTTTTGTGATTCGAATGATTTGAATAATCCGAATTAATTCGAACTTTAAATTTTACTTAATATGAATATTCGAAGAAGAATTTTGTCACTCAACTTTCAAATTCTTTTTTATTTATTATTATTCTTTGCTCTACAAATTTAAAAAGCAAATAAATTACTCTATTTCTATATGAATTGATCTATGACCAAACTCCTCAGATAATTCATATTGAGAAGATCATCATCGCCTACAAGTATTGTCGTTGTGGATACTACGCAAGAAAAAAAAGTCCACATGAAAGAATTACTAATTCGTTGCAATACGGATAATTTCGCTGTAAAATTAATAATAACAGCTCTTTTTGCAAATGAGTGTCTACTAGCTGAAGATTTTTCGCAAAAATCTTTTTTTTACCCTCACGTTACATTTAATCCTGACAATCATACTTGTTCTTAAACATGTTACAAGTAATACAAGAAAAAAGCGAATAGATTTTTTTTTTTAATTCACAATAGATGAGAAATTGTTTTGTGAAACGAAATTTATTTGTTTCAAATTTTATTGATAAAAAGACTTTGGTCGTACAAAAAAAAATAACTATTAAAAAAGTTATTCTTTCAAATTTTATTGGAGGGTCCATTAAATAAATATGACACATCGTTATTAGTATCTTCGTCGCAATCGTAGAAATTAATTGTTTGCAGATCCCTTTACCTGCAAGTGATAAACGTTTTTACTAAAAAAAAAAAAAAGTGAAAAAAAAATCAGGAAACCGAATAGGTAAACTTAATAAGTATTTTGGC